GAGAGAGAGAGAGAGAGAGAGAGAGAGAGAGAGAGAGAGAGAGAGAGAGAGACTCAATTGCTATTTTGGGAGTTGCCTCCCAGGCTTTGGGCTGAGACTATTGTGGGACTATTCCCGAGTTGCAGTCTCTTTTTCTTCTTTTTCTTCTTCTTCATTCCCCGCCTCCATCATGCACGGTACTCCCCATGTGTGTGAGCCAAGGCGGAATCGGGATCTTTCTTTCATGTATGCCCCCTCCTTGCTGCCTATCCCAGGAGTGATTATCATGTATGCACATGCGAAGTCCAGATTCCGATGAGTCAGATTGGTGTGTTTCAGTCTTCCGCTGCTTGCACTGCTGTTTCTTAACACTTTCGTGATTTGTTGGTTCTGCACCATGCCTATCTGATGATGCTGAAAAGGCAAAAAGGGGAATGAGAGGGATTCCCCATATTACCTTTACCTCTGTGCATGCATTCAGGGAGAACTAGTTGTTGAAAAAAAAAAAGCAGACTAGCTGTTTCCAGTTGGACCAAAAAAATAGCAGACTACAGACGGCATATTACCTCTCTCTCTCTCTCTCTCTCCACATGACAGGCACTATTCTTGCAAAACATGCACATATCCATGATTGTGTGTGTAGTAGAGGCTGTACTTACCGTGTGGCCGTTTTTCATTCAAATCGGTCACCATTTCAGCATGGTATTCACGTCCATACCTATCCAACCGAATCTGCACAGATAAGACAATATTCATTAATCAACCATTTGTTATTTGAACTTATTTCCCAGACAACTGAACAGAGGTGGCCTGTACCAACCAGCCGGGCATTGCCGAAGACCCCTTGCTTGTTTGCTACCTTCTTCTCTGTAACGATATTTTTTTCTGTCTGTTCTCTTGAGCAGTCGCCAGCTGCCTGGCCCAAGGCCACCCACAGACTACACAATGAGTTCGATGAGAGTGCGCAACGATAGCAAAGGAAGTGTTACATCAGAAGCATCCTTGTAAGTCAAAAGGTCCCAGGATATTCGACCTCTTTTTCATCTGCCATTGTGCTACATCAACAACCATAACATACTTTCACACCACTTGTCAAAATTTGAATGGCTATTTGACCTCTTTTTCATCTGCCATTGTGCTACCTTCACACCTTTCGAAGTTCTATCAGGTAGCAGGTATTTGGCCTATTGGTCCACAACTTCACTCCCAAACACAGTTGACACGAGGTGTTACATGCTGCGCCTGCAACAGGCTGCACGGGCCATTTTCAGGCCCGTGTTGTTTTCAGCATGAAAGCCTGAAAACAAGGGCCTACAGGCCCCATGTTGTTTTCAGCCTGAAAGCCTGAAAACATTCAAAACAAGGGCCTACAGGCCCTGTGTCGTTTCAGCCTAAAACAGGGCCCTCCAGGCCCTGAGTCTTTTCAGCCTGAAACGGAGGGCCATTTTCAGGCCCTCATAAGATCGACCTGCCCTGAAACGTAGGCACCAGACCAGGGTTTTATCTCAGGCCATTTTTGGCCTATTTTCAAGACAACCTTTGTTTGAGCTTCATCACCAGGGTCTGGCACGTTTTGGCATTGGCAAGAGCAGCCTCCTGGACGCATTTGCGATTTTCTACCTAACTGCCAATTCCAACAAAAAAAAATCTTCGGAATTCTTTCTTTGACGCAAATTCGTTTTTCAAGAGTTCGCAAATTTTGAAATTGTGCAGCAACTGAAATTTTTTATTTTCGTTTTTCCTATTTTCGAAATTTCGTTGCTTGATAAGTTCGAGTTTTTTTTTGGATTTTTTTTGCTGTTAGTTGCTGGAAGTTCTGGTTCCTTTATTTTTTGGAATTTCGAATTTTCCGTTACTTTAAGATTCCGAATTCTTTTTTCCTTCTCAGAAAATCTCTCTTTGCAGTTAAGTTTCTGGATTCTATATCCCAAAATCGAAATTTGCTGCCCATACTCTCATCAGTCCGGTTCCTATTCCACCGGCAAGTCAGAAATGATTACAAAGGGTACTCACGCACGCTCCTCCCCTTTATGGTAGGAAGGCCCGAAGGACGGCATTGATTACTTACCGTGGGAAGGATGTGTCATCATTCACCCCTGCCTAAGTTAGCCTCTTGACGCAACCTAGGGGTTGTAAGGCCTCACCAGAGTTGTGAACACAGTGTTATGGTGTCTGTCTGTTGGACAATCTGGGCTTCCCTAGTTCTGCCTCTCAGCTGTAAGGCTGTCAGATCTGTGTGAATTACTGGTAGAGCTAGGTCTGTCTTCCACTRTCTCTCTTACCTTTGCACCCTTATCCCTAAACAGAACCCCTTCGGAGGACTTGCCAGGCTGTAACTTCTCGACACACCTCTCTGTCCCTTTTGGAGGTTTCTTTTCTTTTCTTTTCTTTTTCTTTTTCTTTCTTTTTTTTTTTTTTTTTTTTTTTTTTTTTTTTTCCCACTGGCAAGTCGAAACGTACATTACATTGAAGAACAACGCACGCTTCCTTCCATCTGGCCGAAGGACCCCTGACCAGTGGGAGATGATAAGTGTTTCCAGGTGACTTGCTGTTAGATTGCATCGTCTGCTCTATCTTGTAGACTGGGGGGATTTGCTTCTGAGTTATTAGTCTGTGGGCTTATCATGTCTCTGATCGGGCTTTGTAGGTGCTGGGGTGACATGGTTAACCAGTCCTTCAATATTAGTTTGTTTCTTTCTACGGTTCCCAAGCTTCCTCCTCCGAGTTTAGAAGCGGTGCCCATACTCTCATCTTAATTATTCCGAATTTTATTTTTTTCTAAATTCGTAATTACCTGAACTTGGGGGGGGGGGGGGGGGGGAATTGCAGTTCAATTATTTTTTTATTCGTTTCTCTGATTATCTGCAGTCTGAAATTCGAAATATTTTTTTATTATTTCAATTTCGGGTTTTGGGGGATTGGGAGACCTACCGGACTTGCGATTTCGAATATTTTCATTTCGAAATTATTATGAAACGGTCTTTACCCAGATTACGCAGCAGTGCAGATCCCAGGGCTTGATCCCTGCACCTATCAGGACCCCTGTACAGTTACCCGTAGACCCTGTGAACCTTGAACCCGCGACATATATCTAAAAAGTCATAGGTTAGTGCTTTGTTTGTTAGTTGGGTTGTCGGGACTTGAACCGTAGTACTTAGGAATAGTCATCTGAGGAGTCCGTCTATCGGTCTAGCCTAGGTCCTTCCAAAATACAGTTGACCGTAGCTGAGTCAGCAAGGGGGAAGTAGCCCTGAGGCCTAGCAAAGGGTCAGTCTACCCAGCGAAAGGTCAGTCTACGCAGCTAGGAGTTTCTAGAAGCAGTTAGTTGACTCTTCTGGACTGTAGGGGTCAGTCAGTAAGTCTACCTAGTCCAGTCAGCAGTCCCCAGTACCAGTCTACCTAGTCCAGTCAGCAAGTACCAAGCAGGACTGTGCAGTGTGCACCACTTTGGGCCTGGGACCAGTGGCAGCCCAGGTCACCAACGAAACAGTATAAATAAAGAGGCAGCTGTTACGATCCTGGCCAATTTCGAAGTATACAAACATCAGAAAGTACAATGCCGTCCAATTGCAAAAAGAAATGAATGAACTTGAGAGGAGAGAGAGGGAAAGAAGAAGAAGATGATGTACTCCAGCATAGACCAATGACAAGGCTCTTCTTCCTCGCCAACCAATCTCCGCCTCCTTATCTCCTCCCCTCTTATTCAAACAAGAAATAACAATAATACTGATGAATGGCTGAACCAGAATCAATGTCCGAATCCCACTTCTACTGCAGGCACAACATGAGGTCCACCATAGCCATGGCCACCCTTCCTCTTCCTCTACATACAGACCAAGGCTATGGCGGAGTACTGAGGGCTCTCCCTCCTGTCCAAAGGACAACCCAAAGCAGCTATGTTGCTGCCCTTCTGTCCCCAGGTCAACTCCATGCAGCTATGCCGCTGCCCACTCAACCGCCATGCCTGACTCTGTCCCGAGCTTCCTTGATGCGGCACTACCCCCCCCTGGGGCCTTCCAGATGCAGCGCCTAACAAGGTGACGAAGATGGTGTCTACCATATCCAGGTAAGTACCCCACCACTCTCCTCCTTGGTCCCCTTCTCCCTCCTCCTCCTACAGGTAGAGCTCCACCATAGCCAAGGTGGAAGCTCCCGGCTTCTTCCTCCCAGGAGCGCTGTAGTACCCAGTGCCACTCCAGCCAGCGCTCCAGCAGCGTGTCGCCGAACTTGCACACTGAAGAATGAGGCCAAGCTCTTGCCTCGGCCTCTTGATATAGCGGCTGCTTGCCTCCTGGGCGGTGACTTCCAGGCCGCTCGGCCTCCCGGGCAACCGGTACCTCCTCCCTTTCGGAGGGAAACATCTTTGCAGACTCTGATATTGCCCGTACAGGCTCTAGACTCAGACTGGATGGATTGGTACCGGCCTAGACCTAGCCTACCGCTACTGGGCCTCTAAAAATGCCAACTTTGTCTTCTTCTGCTCGGCCTCGAGTACCTGACACATCTACTGCTACTGGGTGCGGTACCGGCCTACCTGCTACTTGAGTGTTTTTCCGCTGCTCTAAGCACCACGGGCCCCTGGCTCCGCTACTGGAGTGTTTTCCCTGCTGCAACCCTCAATGCCACGGCCACAGGTAAGTACTGGCCCTACGGGCCTGCCAAAGAAAGCAAGTACCCTTGCGGGTCACACACACACTCACGCCGACAAGCACTCAGACAGGCACGAAGTCAACAGGCATACACACATACAGACTTAGAAAACACAGCAGAATGCGGGAATCTCAGCACGGCATCCATTCCATCGGCAGAACTTCAGAAACCAGCAGTGTTCTCAGTCTGTGTTATGGCGGGTCATTACACAGCGCTCAGCCATTCATTCATTCGCCTGCGAGCCATGCGGAAGCGCTGCTGGTGCGACTTGTGCAAGGAGGTCAGCAGGTGCCCGAAGATGCAGAGGGCAGAGGAGAAAGTCGGCGGCTGTAGCCGCCAGTACCAAGAGGAGGAAGACAATGGCAGCCATAGCTGCCAGCTTGTTGACGACAACAGTGTGTGTGTGTGTGTGTGTGTGTGTGTGTGTGTGTGTGTGTGTGTGTGTGGACATTCAGGGTAGATCCTAGTGTGTGCATGCATGAGTAAAAGTGTGGCAGATGGTGATTACAGTGTTAAGGGGGCAGTTAAGACCGGCGCTCACACGCCATAGCTGCAAGCTGTGACAACTTGACTTGTACTGAGTTTCTGGCCAAGTGCTATTTATCCGAGTTTCTGTGTGGGCGCTGTGCGCCACCTCATGTTTGTTGCTGATTCTGCCTGGTGAGAGTTTGTCAGCCATCGCCATGCGTATGCATGCATGTTGAAAGTGAAGCTCAAGACAAGTCTGATTGCAATTATTATTTAAGCAAGTTCGAACTTTTTCAAATTTGATTAGTGGCTACTTGTCTGGGATCAATGTGACACCCACCCCATCTACGCTGCTGTGTTTCTCCTCTACACTTCTCTCCCCCCCACCAGTCTTCCCCCCTCCAGTGCTGCGGCATTGGTAAGTGGCCACGTCAGCAGGCCACATCAGTAGCGACACGTCAGCACCACGTCAGCTGACAATCGTGCCATGTCAGCAGCAGCTACTGCCACGTCAGCCTCTGCCATCCGTTATTGCCGCATATGCCAGCAATCACCCGCTCACAGACGGGCAACATGGAGTGGAGGCAAGGAAGACAGCCGAGGCCTGCGAGGCC